ACTTATTACAAGAGCAGGAACACTGACTGGACCAAAGGCTGCAGGTTTGATTTCTGCACCTGGTAGTCGGGCATCGGGAAGACGTTGCTAAAACCTCCTCCGCTGATGTAATGTGTGACCTCATACGAGATTTTAAACGGGTTCTTGAAAGCAGTCCCTCCAACTGTTGTCACGTATGGGCTGCAGGGACATTTAGACGGGTTTTAACCGTTTCCAGGTTAAAGCACCAAAACATTATGAGGTATTTGGAGGCAGTTTTAGTTTCAGAAATGTACGATTTACCTGGAGGCAGGAAAACTGGGCCGGAAGGTGTTCTGCGTTTCAGTTATGTGCCTGCATCCAGCGCCGCTGTCACCTGAACAAAGCAGGCAGACAAAGACTGATGCACATCGTTCACCTCGCAGGCTGTTTGAACATTGTTGCAAAGCTACGGGTGAAGTTACACGTAAAAGATTAACAAGTTCTCCAGGCCCTTTTGTTTAAACAATAGATGTGTTTTCGTGTTTCCGATGACACGTTAGTTTGACACAAAGAACCAAGTCATAGTTCACAGGTTGTCAGGGGGATGATGATTGTCAGCAGACTGAGGCTTTTTTTAATGGAAATGAAAACTCATTGGATTCTTTCTTTGTGGTAGGACTGGACGGTATAACCTCAAATTCATATCACGGTATAAATTGAACCCCTTCACGGTAACGGTATATACCGCGGTAGAAAATTCTCATGATAAGTTAAGATAATGTAATGTTTTAGAGCATTTTTTTGCAGAAAACTGTAATCTTAATTAAATCCAACATTTTTGCTTTAATATCTGCCTGCCAAACAATGAGCTTCTGCCTGTTGAACTTATCAGCTGCTGCTCTGCTGCGCTCTCATCTTCATCATCTTCATCATCAGAGCAGAAGCCAACTTCATTAGCAAGATGGATTTACGACTGAACGAACGTCCACGTCTTTTTTGTTTAGTAATCTCTGTGGGTAATAATACATAAAAAACATTTTTTTCTCCGACAATTGGGTGTGAAAAACTACAGTTGTCATAGCTTCGCTCTGCGCGACATGCAGCGAGAGGAGAGGAGAGAGAGGAAACGATCCCGTGACACGACCTAACTTTTCTACAGTGGGAGGAGGAAATTTTGAGGATTTATTCTCTCTATACGTGTTTTAAAACGTTAGAATTTCTTCATTATATTTTGAACTCCTGCTCAGTTGTCTCTGCACTCGCAGCCCTGTTAACACAGGTGCGATGACGTAATGACGATAGGACGGTAGAGGGTAAATTTCTACCGTAGGCCAACTTCATACCGTTTCTACCATCTACCGCATATACCGCGCAGCCCTACTTTGTGGTCTCCTTTCGTTTAAGAAACAAGAACTTGCGCAGCATAAATCACAAGGTGTTAAACAAATAATCTGTCGTGATTGTTCAAAAGTTCAACCCAACGTGACGTTGTTAGCGCTTCGTCTTGTTTCACGAATGGCACAGATTCTGTTTACTGACCCGAGGKGAAGAGCAGAGAGATCCCCCGGACTCCAGCCTTCATGAACTCTGTATTTGTGCGCATCATGTAAGAGGCGGACAGACTGTCCTCGTCGCTTCCGTAGCTGATGGTGTGAACCCAGGGCACGGTGGACATGTTGCTGAGTAAGACCATCCACTGGAGGAAGGGCTCCTGGGACTCGTGGCGACCTGAAGACAAAAGAGGAAGTAAAATGTCTGTCTTTTACCTGCATGTGGACGTGCTACTGTTGTGGAAATCTTTATTTTACCTAGACAGAAACATGAGATCCAAGAACAAAAAATACTCTGTGAAATGGTCAACAGGGTTCACTGCAATTGCAAGACACACATCATGTCACACAGGGCAGTGGTCAATGCCGGATTATCCCATGGGCCTTCTGGGCACGGGCCCCACGCCCACTAGGCAGCCCACGAAGAAAGGGGAAAAAACTGGCGCTCTTTGTATTATTTGGTAAAATAACATGCGCATAACAGATACAAGATACATGTGGGACATGTCCCCCGCACTTCTTGTGCCTGTGGTTCTGTCCCTACACTTTTTAAACTGATTATCCATTTAATTTATTTACACACGTTTTTTTCCGAGCCGTCTTTAAACGCACCATAAGCATTCGCGTGAAAACCGCCAGTGTACCTGCTGCACCGCAGGGAGAGAAGTCCTGCTGAGCAGAGCCTCAACGTGTCAGAAACCAGACAGAGCCAGCAAATCGCAAAAACTTTGCATTGTCTTTTCTTTAAACAACCAGTAAGTTGAGTGATGCTGCTGGAGGCTCTGGGTTTTCCCGGCTACCCTACAATAAGAAGCAGGCAAGAGCAACAGGTGATGATCAGCTGCTGTAGTGGTTGTTTTCAATATCTGATCCCTCAAGACACTGTGGCCATCAGGATATTCTTTACAAAGAAGCAGAAAGTATGTCAAACTCTCTCCACAGGATAATTTTCTTCCCTGTGTGAAGTTAGCTGCAGTTAGCCGCTGGCTACAGCTAGCTTAGCATTAGCTATTATGTAAAATGCAAGAAGTGAACATTTGTTTCTATAATTTACAGCATCTGCTAAAATGCACAGAGGGATCAGCTGGTATTATTATTATTATCAAGAATAAAACATCAGACACTTTTGTTGGGTATTTTTTATCAAAGTAAAATGACTGCATCCAAAAATGTATAATTGTGATTTTAGTATTTTCAAATGTAGTTTCTGAATAAAACAAAGCTGAGTTCATGTTTGATGGTTTTAATTTTTAGTGATCTGATGATGAGACATCTAGGATCACCACTAATAAAACAGGGCATAATAGTCATATGCTATTTGTTGGTTACCTCCGCCAAGCACAAGCAGGGGAGGTAATGTTTTCGGTTGCGTATGTTTGTCTGTCGATCGGTCGGTCTGTCTGTGGACAGCATTACTCAAAAACGTGTGGACGGATTGCATTGAGATTTACAACACATGTGCATACTAGCGCACGTAACACACCATTAAATTTTGGTGAGGTTCTGGATCACGGTGCGGAGACAGGAATTTTTCTTTTAATTCAAGCGAATCAGCCAGAAGTTGCGAGCTCCCCCAGCCCTGCACAGAACTTCAGGAACGTGTTGCTACGTTACGGGAATAACAGAGAAGACGCGGGCGTAACTGAGCCAAACCTGGTACCAGCCCACGAGCTGAACCACCGGTCCCCCGCCCGTCGTCTGCGAGCGGTGGTTCACTTCAGCCCCTGGGCAACCACCGGCCCTCTGACCTGCATCTGGGCCGGTGGTTCAGTCTGTGAACTGGCCCACAGGCTGGAGTGAACCACCAGTCTGACACGCACGATTCATCTGCGCAGGGCGAGCGCGACATCAAGGAGCGACAGGTTCTGGGGCTCTGATGTTTTTCTGGATTTATTGTGCTCTAAACCAGCGTTTCCCAAAGTTGGGGTCGGGACCCAAAGTGGGGTCCCAAAATTTTAAGGTGGGGTCCTGAAAATATTTTCTGAATTAATTACATTTTGCCTTAGTTGTTACAAAGGAGTGAGGTTTAAAATGGATAAATGTAGTATAAAATTTTTTGTTACTATGCCCGTGTTTTGTTGACCTGAGACAAACGTTTTTCGTCCAAAAATAGTTGGGGGCACAGGTNGGCACGTCCCACCGGGAGGAGGCCCCGAGGAAGACCCAGGACACGCTGGAGGGACTATGTCTCTCGGCTGGCCTGGGAACGCCTTGGAGTTCCCCGGGAAGAGCTGGAAGAAGTGGCTGGGGAGAGGGAGGTCTGGGCCTCCCTTCTGAAGCTGCTGCCCCCGCGACCCTCTATTTTAGCATTAGCTTTAGCTTTGCTTGCTTTAGCTGCCTCCACTAAAGTCTCCTTCGTGTTAGCTGTGTAGCTATGGAAGGCTAGTGGGTTACCCGCCTTACCGTTGGCTGCTGTGAGCAGAGGAAAGTCTTTTTCTTTAAAGGTAGACATTGTTTTTATTATCCGGTAGGTAGAAAATACGTCCGAAACAGAGTTATAAAAGTATTTTGGTCTTTAGAGGACAGTTTAGAAACAAATTTGGGACCGAGCAATCAGAGCTTAGAAAGTAGCTTATGCCCTGGTCACCATCTTCCCGGAAGTCGACCGGGAACTGTGTTTAGTGACGGCACAAGCTAAAGTTTGAGACGGTCGTCGTTTTTAGGCAGACAGCTCCATCAGGTGGACAACGCAAAGATCACAAGAAAACGTTTTCCATAACTTTATGGCCAATTAGCTGACTAAACATGCTGATAAAACGAAAATATATTTGTTATGAAGTGTTTCGAGTGCTTCAAGACATGGAAGAGTGATTTTTGTGGCCAGGAGAAGTAAAAATGTTCGGATAAAAAGATGTCTGGTTGGCTATTTTGAATTGCTAATTTCGTCATATTTGAGGACAAATGCATCAAACGTAAGTGAAAAACAAATATTATTTCGCTGCTGGTGGTTTTATAGGCTGTGTAATGCTTTGAGAGAAATAAGGATATGTTTGTTTATTCTTATGTTTTGGCTGTTTATTGGTGGAAATTTGGCTGAATATACTCCAGTTTGTATAAATATTTCTGAACATTAATATATATATTTTTTATTTAATCATGCTGTGATTAAATATGGATGGTAGAATGTGTTTTGTGGGGGTTTTATCTTTAATTTGAGCTCAGAGTGAAGTCCCTGTGTTGAAGTATTTAGAAATTACAGTGTTTTAGACGGTTTGGACATATTGTACAAATATGCAAATGGGACATGCTGGATTGTACTATGTCTCTAATATTCATATTTTATGCTACTGTTACCAAATTTGAACTGGTAATAGTTGGGAATTAATATTTTAGCCCAGTAAAAATTATTTATTGATATCTCAATTCCTTCATGTTCTGTCAGAGGTGGGCAGCACTAATTWAAAAAATTAGCTCCGCAATTTCTAAAACACTTATGAAAATATTTAGGTCTGCAATTTCAAAAGCACTTATTCATAGAAAAATCAGCGGAAGCTAATTCTAACGCGCAAGTTCAATTGGACACTTTCTAGCTGGCTACAATTCATGTACATACTGTATATGTACAATGCTGCCCACTAGTGGTGTATGAACCCTTGTACAGCTCATTTTACAATCGCCGATTGCTGGGCGTCTTATTTTCTGAAACACAACTTTGACTCCTGGGTGTAAAAATTAAAAACTTGTTGAGGCTTGCTCAGCTGATTCTTTAAAAAAGTTGCTGAGGATTGCTATTTCGGCTGATTTTTTTGTCTTTTTCTTTTGTTTGTTGTAGATTTTTCATTAAAGAAACATCAATAAAGTAATTTTAAAACACTGTTTATTGGAAAACTGAAGCGATGCATTCTGGGTACATTTGTGATGGGAAACGAAAGCACGGAGAACAAGAAACTAGTATTTTCCCTTCAAAATAAGAGCTTGGATTGTAGTTTTCTACGTTTCCATTGGATCGATTCTAGTTCACCTGAAACTCATCAGACTGAAGAAGTCTCTTGGAGGAGAGACGTAACATCTAAAGAACCCATCCAGAGGACCTACTTATTTTTTCTTTTTGATTTTTGAGATGCATGAGGACGTTTTCCTTTTCCATGTAGTTGCAGCTGCTCAGTCTTCATCAGCATAAGTCTATAACTCCGTTGCTTAGACCAATTACGTTAAGTATTGAGCTCCAGCGTTTAAACTTTATTTTTTTTAAAAAGGGAGCTCCGATTGTTAAGTAAATAAATCAATACATACAAAATATTAGTATGGATTACAAACGTTTACTGTTTTTGCTGGGAAAGGGAGCATACTAAACATTGCCTTCCTGTTATGTAAGCAGACACAAAGCATTGTGGGAAATGTCTGAAAATGTGGATCCCTGCTGGCTACTGAATATTGCCTTTTGCACTGTGTTTATTGTAATTTAATAGAAGCCATATAAGTAATTTAGATTGCTGCCAGCAAAAATACTTTGCAAAGCTGACCTACTAAAATGAGAWCAGACTGAACCGTGACCCAAGGCGACAGTCAGGAAGGATGTATACCTCCCCAAAAGTGGTGTTCAGCCGGGAGGGGAGCTGTTGGATGAATCACATGCGTTGTGAATCTTGACAGCAATACCTTCCACTGTTCAAGAAAATGATGACCAGTAGATAATCAGTTATTAGCAGAACTGCAATTTAAATTTAAAAGCGCAAATCTGCTTATGAATTATAAAAATTAGTAAGTCTGCTAAAGCACAAACAAAATGTTTATGTCCGCAATTAGTGGATTTGTGCTTCAGCAGACTGGTGCCCACCACTGTGTTCTGTGATACTTTATAAACAAAAATTTAGGTAGAAAAATATCTTGATTTTTGTGTATTTTACTTCAATATACTAAATACTAGTTAGTTACGAAGAATGTGACTGCTGAGGTTAAAAATTCAGATTATTAGCTTTAAATAGAGACCAAGCTTGTGAATTTACCCTAAAAAGTTCAAAAGCAGTACTTCATTTAATTTGTGTGTACTTTTTAAGTCGTTTTATGGTATTTTAGGCCCGAATGTGTCAACCGTACTCGTCAGACCAGATACTAGAAGAAATAGTTTTCACCAGGCAAACCTTTAGGACCAAAGGTGGAGAAAGCTGGACAGTTTGAAATGTCGCAACTTTCTTCACTCCCAGGTTTTGTGATTTCCTTCACTCCACTTCTGTTTCCTGTTTAGCAGAAGCTGTAATGGTTTGGTGTGATTTACCGAGGTCCCYGACACCCATGGGATGGGGATTCTGTTGTTGACCACCCAGTAGTTATCGGACAACGCAGCCATGTCTGGGTAGGCCCGTCCGCTGGCGTTAAAGTAGGACTCGGGGGGGAGAGTTGCTCCTACGGCCTTCAGGTATCCCTGAACCGCGCTGACCTGAGGAAACAAACACACGACTTATTACAAGAGCAGGAACACTGACTGGACCAAAGGCTGCAGGTTTGATTTCTGCACCTGGTAGTCGGGCATCGGGAAGAAGTTGCTAAAACCTCCTCCGCTGATGTAATGTGTGACCTCAGACGAGAATTTAAACGGGTTCTTGAAAGC